AATAATAATAATAATAATAATAATAATAATAATAATAATAATAATAATAATAATAATAATAATAATAATAATCACAACAATAATAATAATCACAACAATAATAATAGCAATAATAATAATAATTGCATTTCAGCTTCTGCAGGAGTAAGAAGGAAATCTATAAATACCGCTTTAGGACCATTACCAGAAATAGATCCGTCAAAGTAAGTCCTATGAATAAAAAATTAATTTGCTTGTTGTACTTATAGATGGTTGCGATAGTTGGTTTTAGTATTGTTGTCATCACTAATGGAACCAGACATATAGATTGTTTATTCTGCTGCAGAACTCAAAATGATGTTCTCTTTAAGCCATTTGGTCTTCATATGGCTTCTAAAATAGATGTCCTAAATCCAGATATTAGCCCTTGTTTAATTTTAAATTTAGTATCTATAATGTTGTTGCTGTGTGTTGCTTATAGTATATTTATATATACTGTATGTGTATTCATCTCTCTCTGTGTGTGTATAAATATGTGTGTGTGTGTGTGTGTGTGTGTGTGTGTGTGTGTGTGTGTATATATATATATATATATATCCATCCATCCATCCATCCATCCATCCATCCATCCATCCATCCATACATGTATGTATGTATGTATGTATGGTATTCAGCTTTGTTCGGGTATTTTCCCACGTCATTATAGTTATGCTTTTAAAGTTGTAGTAATGTTTCAGCAGAATCTCATCTGCCATCATCAGGCTTGTGTATTGTATTTGTCTGTGAGTCAGGCTTTCACAGCCATTTCTGTTTTAAATTTGGTGCTTGCCTACTGCTGTGCCAGAATGTTTTTTTCTTCATCCTGATTGGTTGGGAGTCTTGGTCTGTGTTTATTGGTCTTGGAGTTTGCTGTGTTCTGCTTGATTGGTGTTTCTAATATCTTCTGTCTGTTTTGTAGCATTTTTTGTCTTGATTGGCTGGCAACATTTTGTTTCCTGTATTGGAGGCTTTAAATTCAATGTTCAGATTTCTTATGAGTGTGATGTAAAAATGATTAGCTGAAAAATATTAAGAAAATAAGCACTGGTAAAAGTTTCTTTTTGACTGTGTATATTGACAAGCCCATAAGATCTTAATTTGGGGGATCTTAATTTGGGGGAGGTTAATTAGAAGTTTAAGAGACAGCACGGGTATATGATAGGAAATTATTGGAATAATTTTAGAATCACAACATAAGGAAACAAGTGTTGATGTACACAATCATATATATTCCAACTTTTTAATATTTGAGCATATTTCTTTGTTATGTGTGTGTTCTAAAAAGTTTACATGTTACATCCCTGATCTTTCTTGTAACCACATTTTTTAAAAACAGATTGCTCTTCTTTAAATACTGCTACCAGTGTGGACGATCTGTTGGTGTGACCCTTACACCTTGTCAACATTGTTTTGAGATCTTCACTTGCAGCAAGTCCTGTAAGGTCAAGGCTTGGAATGAACGGCATAAGCGAGAGTGTTTACAAACAGGTAGGTGGGGCTGATGGCATGCAGAACAAAGTGAGACTGAGGTAGGATGCAAAAACATTGCAATTAATTTATTCTAGAAAGAAACAATGTGTCCTTAAAAATGTAAGTAATTTTGTTTAATTTAATTGGTATCTGTAAATGTGAACAGTTACTTATCTTTATGAAAATTTATCTTTGTGAAAACAACTCAGTTAAACCAAACTTAAATTGAAACAGTAACTTGAACAATATACATAAAATATGCAGTAAAATTTATTTATTTACTTAATTTATTTAAAACATTTATACAGCCACCTATCTTAAACCAGACTTTGGGCATCTCACAATAAAGCAATATATATATATCAACAGTGAAAGAAAAGCATTAAAACAAACAAACAAACAAACAAAAAAGACCTGGCACTACAGCTAAACTTTCCCATGCAGCTCTCAACAGGTTTATCGGTTTCAACCTCACTTCAATACTAGGGAAAACCACCAGGTCTTAAGTGCTTTTTGGAAGATCAAAAGGATAGGGGCCTGCTTGATCTTTGGAGGACAGGAGAAGAAACATTTCCTAGGTCCCATAAGATGGCAGCATTTAAAGGAAGGGACCAGGAGTGTGCCTATCGTATTGGGTATGATGGGGGCAGACAGAGGTCCTTAGGAAGAGATGGACCCGCAAATTACCTGGTCCTGTGCCATGTAGGCTTAAAGGTAATAACTACTACCATGAATTGGCACCTAAAGGAAATGAGCCAGTACAACTTGTACAACAGAGGTATAACATGGATGAATCTAGATGCGTTCAACACTGCACAGGCCACTGCATTCTGGACCAGTGTGATACAGTTTGATTTCTTTCATCACCGACTATTGTAGTTCTACTGTTCTTCCTATAGTATTCTAGTTCAGGTCTGAGTGCTTAGCTTGATGATTCAAAGTTTGTTTCATGTTGCATCTTCTTATTTGCAGTACTGTATAGAAGATTTCTTTTAAAAATGAGACTATGGCTAATTAAATCCTTAATTTTGGAAGCATTTATTCTTCCCTGGGCTTCATTTCAGATGGATAACTGTCCTTAATAGGAAGATGGTAACCTAGGCAGAATTTGGAATGGAGTTAGATTATGTAAGACAAATGGATAATAACTTCACAGTGCACATCATTTGAACCTAATTCCTTTCCTGCACATTATATGTATTTTTAGGAACTTAGTTGCCCACATCTTCTTTCCTGTTTTTATTTTACCTAACATTTTGTGGCTAACATTCATTGTCTTTTGGATTTCAGTTAGCATACGCAGATCTCCTTTTTACCCTCTTTTTTTTTTTTTTTGAAGAAATTCAGATGTGTATACCAACAATATCCAACTAAGTGTAGCTTTTTAAGCTATGGGTGGTCCATTTCACTGCCCTACCGGGAACCATCTGTAGAATTACATACTATATTAAAAATAATAATTATATTAAGGTAGAGGTAAAGGTTCCCCTCACGCATATGTGCTAGTCATTTCCAGCTCTAGGGGACGATGCCCATCTCGGTTACAAAGCCGAGAGCCAGTGCTGTCTGAAGACGTCTCTGTGGTCAAGTGGGTGGCATGACTAAATGCCAAAGGCGGATGGAACGCTGTTACCTTCTCATCAAAGTGGTCCTATTTTTCTACTTGCATTTTTACATGCTTTCGAACTGCTAGGTTGGCAGAAGCTGGGACAAGTAATGGGAGCTCACTCCATTACGCAGCGCTAGGGATTTGAACTGCTGAACTGCTGACTTTGCTGATCGACAAGCTCAATGTCTTAGCCACTGAGCCACCTCGTCAGATCTAATTAATCTAAAATTAAATTGAGATGAATTAATTAAGATTAGATTAATTAGATCTAAGTAATAATTGTATTACTTAGATCTAATCGGGCATTAAAGTTCACACAGGAGTGCTATCATAGGGAAGATATAAACAATCCTGAAGTAGTGGTTTGAGATGCTGACATAAATGTTTTTATACCACATTTACTCTTCTTAAGTAGCACTTAGGACTGCCATTCTACTTCTTGCATAGATAATTCTCATTCCCTGATAATTTCTTTATAAATATTATATTTTGATAATATTAAGAAACATTTAATACTGATTTAATTCACCATGCATCATATATACACCTTTAGATTTCCTGTGATTATTTATCTTAGATTGTATAATGTAAATTAATTTTATAATCTGTTTACATTAAGTACTGTTTAAAATCTGTTTCAGTTCTTGGCAATCAGCTAATTTTTGTAGTGTCAAAAAAAACCCCCTATATTTGAACACAAGGACACTGCTGCTTAAAATGTGAAGCAAATTATTTGAAAAATATTTGATGTGGTTACATTAATTGGGCTGAATATGCTTTCTCTCATCTTTAGAACAAATTATAGTGAACAAGAAAAATAATATACAAATTGCTACTTTCCTGACCACTTTAATGTACAAACATATAAGATTAAAGTTGCAGGAAAAACTGAATATTTGAAATATAAATCAGGATTTATTGAAAACCTGGATTGGAAAGATGGGAAAAGATTGTTAGGAGAATGATTTTAAAAGGCAAGAGAAGTCTTCATTCAAACAAAGAAGCAAGGTGAGAGCCATGTAAGAAGAATTTTATTAATATATGGTCTCTGTATAAGGTAGGTGCCAAGTACCGAAGTGTGCCAAGTCTGTACATGATTTTTTTAAATTTTATTTTGACAATCGTGTGTTTTCCAGAAGGAGTTTTTATATTAAAATTTAGAATTTGATCTAGAAACCTACAGCACATTATGTATTTTTCAAAATGATACGATCAAGGAAGATTTTAAAAAAAGATTCCATGTAGAATACGGTATCAAAATCTCATTTGGATGGATAAATGAAAGCAAAGCGTTTTCCAAGCTTCCAGAAACTGAAATAAGGAAATTTCATGTCTGCATATAAAATGGATATTGGATAAAGCAAAGAATTAGTTCCACAGTGATTAATCAGGTATTACTGGGAAGCACATGAGCAGGACATGAATATAATACTGTTGACTTCCTCCAAGTATTTTATCCTCTGGATTTCATCTTCTTCATACTCTGAAAGAGGCATAAAGCCAGCAAAAAATGTATAATCCCTTTGTGGAGCCAACTAAATGACTAGCTTTCACAACATCTTGTAATGAATTGTGCTATGGGAGGACTTTCCTTTTTACTTCTTCAAATCAACAAAATTCAGCTTCAAGCTTTATTGATTGTTCCATGTTTTAGTATTAATAAAAAAAGCAGCAGATAACTCTAAACTCTAAATTTGGTTTCAATACACAGCCTGTTCCAAAACTTTGCACCTGTTTTGTTCTGCTTTGTTCTACCAAGCCCATGTTTTATGTGCCACAAGGTTCCGTCTTAGGCCCAGTACTTTTCAATATCTTCATTAACGACTTAGATGAGGGAATAAAAGGAGAACTTACCAAATTTGCAGATGATACAGGAATAGCTAACACCCAAGAAGATAGGCTCAAGATCCAGATGGATCTTGACAGACTAGAACTCCAGTACTAGAATTACAGACTAGAAAATCCAGTACCTGTCAATAGTGGTGTCCCCCAAGGCAATGTTCTAGGACCAACTCTCTTCATACTCTACATAAACGACCTCTGTGCGTTCTCTTCGCTGATGATGTAAAGCTGTTCAATACCACAGACAATACTGCTACCCTACAAAAATATCTTGACTATGTATCAGAATGGTCAAACAAATGGCAACTTCAAATCTCAACAAATAAATGCTCTGTCTTACATATTGGCAAAAAAAATCAGAAAATAAAATACAAGCTGAATAGTCAAGAACTTGTTGATGACCCAAGCTCTGTAAAGGACCTTGGAATACTCACCTCTAATGATCTAAGTGCTAGAGCCCACTGCAACTACATAGCCAAAAAGGCATTAAGAGTTGTTAACCTAATCCTACGTAGCTTTTTCTCTGGTAATATCACACTACTAACCAGAGCATACAAAACATTTGCTAGACCAATACTCGAATACAGTTCATCAGTCTGGAACCCACATTACATATCTGATATTAGCACAATTGAGAAAGTCCAGAAATATTTCACAAGAAGAGTTCTCCACTCCTCTACTCGTTGTAGAATACCTTATGCCACCAGACTTGAAATTCTAGAACTAGAAAACCTTGAATTACGCCGTCTTCGGTCTGACTTAAGCATGGTATATAAAATCATACATTGCAATGTCCTACCTGTCAGTGAATACTTCAGCTTCAACCATAACAACACAAGAGCACACAATAGATACAAACTCAAAGTAAACCGCACCAAACTTGATTGTAGGAAATACGACTTCAGCAATAGAGTGGTCAATGTCTGGAATACTCTACCCGACTCTGTAGTTTCTTCCCCAAACCCCAAAAACTTCAACCTTAGACTGTCTACTATTGACCTCACCCCTTTCCTAAGAGGTCTGTAGGGGGCGTGCATAAGCGCACCAACGTGCCTACCGTCCCTGTCCTATTGTTTCTCTTATTCTTTTATTTTTCTTATATGTACCCATTTCATGTATTCACAACTATGTATACACTTATACTTATTATCTTGTAAACAATTGGCAAATCAAATAAATAAATAAATAAATAAATAAAATAAAATAAAATAAAACACTGGACCATATCTAATAAAATGAAATTCAATATAGAGAAAAGTAAAGTTCTACACTTAGGCAAGAAAAACCAAAAGTACACATATAGACTGGGTGAAACCAGGCTCAATAGCAGTAACTGTGAGAGGAATCTTGGAGTCTTAGTGGACAACCAGCTAAATATGAGCCAGCAGTGTACAGCAGCCGCCAAAAAAGCTAATGCAATCCTAAGTTGTAACAGAGGGATACAGTCAAGATCAAGGGAAGTACTAATACCACTCTATAAAGCCCTAGTAAGACCACACCTAGAGTACTGCATCCAGTTTTGGTCACCACATTATAAAAAAGATGTTGAGACTCTAGAAAAAGTACG